CTTAAGTAAAATTGGCAGAAAAAACATTGCCACTTTTGGCGTTTCAGTTTAAGGCGACTTAAGGCGACTTAAAGCGATTTTATTTGACTGAACTGATAAAATCAAAGTTAGCGAGTAGTCTTTCCAATAAAATCAAAGTTAACGATTAGTCTTCCATAAACCTTCAAAATATTTACAGAATCCGTTGCAGTAAACGCAATAGTCATTTTGGTAAACAATCGACAAACATCGTGTTTTCATGACATTCGCCGTTAGTTATTCCATGGGAAAATGAAACATTCGTACACACGGGAAAACTATAGAAAAACAGGCTATTCATTGGTATTTTCCTAGTGCTGGATAACATGCCATGAACTTCGTGTTGTTCTTGAGTTTTACTGAGGGTGAACATTGAATTTGGCGTGCGTTTTAAGTTATCGGAAAACTTGAACGTAATGTTGAGTTTTTCTGTCATTCACCATTCCGGAACCAAACCAGTGAACGGTGAACGAGGGTTAATTATTAACGGTGAACGAGGGATTTTTTTAGCCGAGAAGAGACCGTTTGAAACCGTTTGAAACCAAGAAGAGACCGTTTAAAAACGATTCTCAGAGCACTGGAATGCTATCCCAATATATGTGCATCGCTATTTCTTGCGTTATGATAACATAGCCTTGGAAAAACATTAAGATAATGTTGTTGATGAGAACGACTGCGATAACTAAGTACATGCAATGGTTATAGGACTGAGTGGAGTCCCATTCTTAAAGAAAAAAAAGCCAATGAAGTATACTATATAGATAATGTGTAAAACTCATTTAGCGTTAAATTAAAGCCTACCTATTCTATGAAAGGAAAGATTTATTTTACTCAGCTTATTTCTTAAAAGAGTCCCATTCGGTGTGTAATCATGTGAATGATAACAAAAGCGGTCCGATTTGTTCACTACGAGTATGATTAAATACCGAATCGTACGACACAAAGTCTTATTACCAATTAATAATAAAAATTACAATTTCCGAGAAATTAAGAATAACCAGGTTATGAAAGAAAGAGAAATTTGTATTTATAAGAAATCAAACTTGTGATTGTTTGATTTAAACTACAACTTTCAACGTGATTGGCTTATCAAACTTTCCGATAACAGACTATCCCATAACAACTTGGCAAGTGAATTAGTGCGAAAAAGGATTTTTTTTTTCATTACAATCAAGGAAACTGTATTTTTTTTAATTGCCATATTTGATTTAATTACCAGTTTTCCTCACTGACCCGAATAATTCTTATCATTTTAGCTTATAGAATCTTATGTACAAATCAAACAAATATATCTTATCAGACTTTTAGTTGTGTAGTATCGCTGAGTATTTTTACGAGTTCTGCCGTATTTTGACTCGCCCTACGGGCTCGTCAAAATACAAATAACGAGTAAAAATACTCAGCGATACTACACAAGAAAACGTCTAATAAGTTATTTATTATCCAACACGCCAATCTGTTATTTCAGTGCGGGCGAATTCGCGGATATTTATTTACGGGGAGTGCGT